TTTTTTTAGACAATGGGAGTTGGAACACATCATTATTATGGTCAGGCAATCATATAAAGACCATAAAATAAATACCCTAAAAAATCACTGCACTTACACTTTAAGTGATACATGCAGTCCTGATAGGCTATCAGGACTGTATCACTTAAGTAATCAGACCTGATTCATTAGCTTTGGGCAGTACTACTGTATCAGCATGATAATTCTTGGCTGTGTATGTTATCGCACCAACTGTTCAATTACATAGACTTCCAAGTAAGTCTGGTTATAATTTCTATGCATGCATTGCCCTGGCTATTATGGGCATTGTTTTGGCCTTAAAAAATATTGAGACTATGCATGGACACAAAAACAAAAAAAGGAGGGAGAGAGGCTGTGTGTCCTATTGGTATTTTTAAAGGTTTACCTTTCCCTTGTACATGGCATCAGGGCTAGCTCCATCTCTCAGTGCTTTAGCTACATCAAAGATCCGTTTTTCATTGACAGCAACTGCTAGTTTGCTATCCAACTACATTTAGACACGGTGTAAGACGTTGTTCTACTTTAAAATATGTTATAAACAAACCTCAGACATGATTCTATGAGGAGAAGACAATCTGGACAGAGGCGTCTAACCCGAGGTCTGAACCATTCTTTATTTATTTTTAGCTAGAGTAGGCGTTGCATAAAACTAATTATCCTAATTAAGCTTTGTATGACTTCTTCCATTATGAATTAATGTTTAATAATGCATACAAGCTGAAATCATGATCATGTTACAAAAAGTACTTTGTCCTTAGTCTCTAGCTGAGAGTCTGAGACTTTAATTTATTTCATCAAACTAAACTTTGAATTAAATCAATATAGATCTAAAGGTCTAAAGCTCACCTTGCTCTTGACAAGTGTTATACATTATGTAGTCTACTCTTGTATTATACTGAATAGCCTAATCATCTAGTTTATAGCAAAAGACTTAGATAGGTTTAAGTAATCTTGACACATAAATTTGAGGCATAATAATGTGTAAATGTGACAAATTACATGTATATTAAAAATAACAATAATAAGCTGTGTGTTAATTACAGGACAGTCATGCATGCACATGCCATTAAAGTCAAAATAAAAATTTCTTCCTTGTTTGAGACTCAAATTGCCCTTTACCTGGGAATTAATATTGTGGAGGTTTTGATTGTTAAAAAAGACAATTTTTATTAAAAAAAACCATGATATCCACAATGAACATGTGGGTAAATGCACAAATCAACAAAAGATTAAAATATCAATTACTCTCTCAGTATACAATTATTACAATTACAGATGAGTTTCTTTAGAAACTTCAAGTACTTCATTTTTGAGTTGACCACACGAACTTTTGGATTGATTCTCATTTTCACAGACTTCTCTACTATCACTATTCTTGAACTATAAACTGTGAATTGAACCTATAAATTCACATTACATATAATCAATAATGTATACACACTCTCTGCAGTTTTTGAAGTCATGTACTCACTGATTTACCTTCAGGATTAGGAAGTGAAGCATCATCATAAATATTCTCAACAAACATGTCACTGTCGTTCTTTGAGATTATAGCCTTTACTACAAAAATTAAGTATAAATGTGCAGCAGCTATTGTAAGCTCACCAAAAATACCTCCTTATCACAATAACAATAATAATCACAACGAGCAAGGTTCCAATCATAGCTCCTATCACAATCCCTGCTATTTGTCCTGCAGATTGTTTATACCATTATTTGGGGTAATTGAATTTGTAGCAGTCATTGAATTCAGTGGATCAACTACTGTAAGAGCAGCAATTTTGAAACCAGCACTAGAATATTTTGAATCAGCTTCCTAAAGCTCGTCCTAAAGTAAGTGTACCAATTTTTTTAGCAACTTTTAAAATTCATTAAAAATCCAATTTGATCATAAGTATCAAAAAATTACTTAAAAATTTTTCTCCTTGCCATTTTTGGCAAAATTTGGCCTGAGACCAAAGGCTTTAGCCTAAGGTTATTAGCCTGTTTGTTGAGCAACTTTAAAAATTCATAGAAAAATTTGAATTTGATTGAAATCAGTTCAAAGTTGATACTTAGCTTTAAAAATATGTATATATATCTATCAAAAAATAGAAGAACTCTTATTTAGCTATTTTTGACAATATTTGGCTTGAAACAAAATATATTGAAAATGTACATATATACATTGTATATACACGTAATATTAGAAACTTTGCATGTGATGTGGAACAAAATAAAGAAGGCTACTGTCCATGTTTATTTGGAGCACTTTTAAAACTTAAAAATTAGTTTCAATACATTTTGAAGAGACACTTAGCCCTACTCTTACTAAAGGTGGGCGTGTTAAATTGTCAACGGAAACTCGCTCACTAATTAAAATCAGTGGCCACCTGCATAACACTAACAGAAGAACATGGGAAACTGAGACTACGGACTTAATAACTTTTATAACTAGCAGCAAGAGTAGCAGTGATTATTGGTTTTATGATCATGAAAAATACATTTGTTGCTAATAATTTTGATAAGTTCGTGTATAAATAATTTATAAATTATAAAAGTATGTGTACATGCATCATATACTTTGCTTGCTTGAGATTGCCACCTTCATCTTTACAGTTGTAACCAGTGAAGGTCTATTATATGATATATTATTGCCATTAATTGTCTGAGTTTTTCAGGTAATGTATAGAAAGAACTCAAAGAAGTATATATATATGGGCAAAAAAGGATATGAATGCTAAAGCTGTTGAACAAGTCTGGAGGGAATGAGGGATACCTTTTTCTAAAAGTTAACAAAAACTGTTAACATTAAATTTTAATTGCATTTAATAATACCTAAGCAGACCACAATCAATTGATACAAAAGAAAAAATTAACTATAGCAATGGTTTAAAATTAACTATTAATTTAAAACTGAAGTTATGCTTGTAGTGTTAAAAAATAGTAGCACAATTAATCAAATGGTTTGATTAGTTATAAAAACCATAGTTAGATCTACATTTAAAAAAGGAATTTTTGTTTAACAAAGACACAATTTCTACGTCTTTTTTATACCAAGTGAACATCTAACATTATGCGCTATATCCCCATTTCCCATGTGATTGTCGAGGACATCAATCACTTCTCTCCATGTTGGAAAAGAAGTTTCCTTGTTCAGCCAGCATTGCAGTACCCTGTTAAGTTTTGGCTTAGGATCCCTTCCTGGCTGTTCAGCTAATTCACCCAATACGCTGGACGAGACACCGAGAAAACCACCAAGTATCTCCCAACGATATGCTATCTCTGAAAGGAGCTTGAATAATTTTTGAAACGTTGGTTTGCTGTCTATAATAATGCATTAAATTTTTAATTGAAATCAAATTACATCATTACCTTCAATAGATGATGCTAATGTCTTGCTCAGGATTTTATCAAGTTTTGCTCTTTCACTGTCAGTTTGTCCAGCGGATAGATTAGCATATAATTTATAATCTTCATCTTCTTCATCATCATCATCATCATCATCAGAATACTCTTCTTCATTTTCATCAGTATCAGGGGCACTAGTTAGACAACTCTCAGCAAGTTCCTAATAGAAATAATTATAGATATTATTTTTAATAACAATGATAATATTTTTATCTATTTTAAAAAAAACAAATAATGAAAAGTTGTACAATATTTTTGTA